TATATATATATATAACGGGAATTCTAAAATTTGCGAAGGTCAGAAATAATTAATGAAAATTAATTGAATAAAAGATAAATAGTTAAATTTGTTTAATGCAAACTTGTTTATTTCTTGATTAAAAACTTCATTTGCGTTTTGCTTCAAAAATATAAAAAATGGAAATAGCAGTCGACATGTTTCGATGATTTGAAATATAAAACGTAAAGTTGTCACCGAAAACTGGAAAAATAATGGTGAGAAACAAAACTAGGAAAACCACCACATTAGCCAAGAGAAAAAAAAAGATGAAAAACAGAACGATAAAAACCACAGTAGCCGAAGGAGGCAAAACCGGGTAAAATGCATTTCTACATGCTATGGAGAGGCCGTGAGAAACTAATGTCGTTAACAAGAGAATCCGCATTCATATGAATAAAACAAGATTTCAGGGTGTCAAGATGATTAGATGTGACTGGGGTAGAAATAATTTTGGCATTGTTGAAATTGAACTAATGCTCAAATTCCAACAATGTACAGCTATTGTTTATTTTTCAAATTCTTGATAACGGACACATCAATCTGTTTAACAGACTTATTTAATTTGAGATTTTTAATTGATTTGTGTTGATCCTTTTAATATAGCGTACAATCAAAAAGAAAAAATAACAGAAAATTTCAGTCTCAGAACCTTAGTTCCAGTTTTTATATCGTAAACCATAGCTAATTTGCTAAAATTTTAAAATGTTTTTCTATTTCTAAGAAATTCTTAAATAAAACAATAAAACGAACAATTCTTTCGCTAGTTAAAAGTCTCCTCAAATAAAAAAACACTTCTCTTCTCAATTGATTCGTTCAGAAATTTGTTAGCGCAAGAGCACCAAAAATCATTCACACTCGAATTTTAATATCATTTAGGAAATATTTAATTGATATTTTCAAGTGAAATGTTTTTTAAACTTCATTTAGATTCAATAAATCTCTATAATGTATTTTAAGTGTAAAATCCGATGTAATTAAGTGTAAATTAAATGTAAAATTGACTCAGATGATCAATATTATTTCAATGCTTAACGTAATTAAGTCTTTAAAAAATTGAAAATTTCAAAAAAGCTTATCCATTTTGAATTTTTGCAAAACAAGCTTAACTCAAGATCAATTTCATTAAAAGCTTCAAAATTTCTGAATATAGGAAAATTTTAGCTATTTCGTTAATAGGACAAATCACATATTAGGCCTAGGTCACTCCATACAGTCCGTAATCCGATCTTATATTCAGTTCTCAATTATTATCCTCTTTTGAGAATAAGAAAGGAATATGCAAAGGAATTTCCAACTACTCATTAGCTGAACGATGAAAGCATTCTTGAAATCTTGGGGATAAATTCA